TACCCAGTCAGCGCTTTAGCATTGAACTGGCGGAGCATTCTTGGGGTGAGCTTGTCTAGACAAGCACCCGAATGGCTCATAACACAGATAGTAGGGCCAACTTCCTATTTTGTAATTGACTCGATCAAACGCCATTCAGTTGGTAATACCACGCGACTTGGCCGGCTATCTGCGTGTTGTGGATCTGAAAGAACCTATCCCAATGCTGCTAGGCGTCCAGAGGTAAGCCGCAGTTACCTTCGTATAGATACTTCCAGAACACATCGAGCACCGCAGACGCTGCATCTCTCCGTCTGGATGGTGGCGTAGTTGGCTCGGTGGATCTTCTTTCTGTTGGCCGGCATCCGATGGGCTAGCTGACATCGAAATACAGATTTCCAGGTTTGTGGAGGCGCGGAGATTCAGAGACGACAGGACATCACATGACGGATGTAAATTGTTAGCCATGCGAACGAGTGATTGTGACTTTTGTTGGCACCAGCGGACCCCGGGATGGTCCACTCAATCAAGCTTATTTTTATTATGCTGGGTGGGTTTTGTTTGTCGGCAATGTTGAACCACGGCGGTCTCTCTCGGACAAAGGCAGGGACAATCAAATCAGTCCGTTTGGGCTACCATGTTCGTACAAACACTTTTGTCGTCATCAACTCCATGGTTTGCTAACAAAGCAGCATTCGATTTGCAGCACTTCCCACGTTTCTCACACATGAGCCCCACGATTCTCTCGTATGTACTGGTGCGAATGCGCCAGATGATTTGTGTTGTATTGTTGAAACTAATCAGGAGATTGAAACGAAACAGGATAGTTGGCCCAGTCTGGAGTTGCGGCAATCCTAACTCACCCAGACTGACGTCCAGGCTACTCGGATGGCACAACCAAGAGGTGGTAAGTCGCGCCGACCAGAGGGATGCAGGCATTGCTGCTTTCGATCCCGAAAAGATGCTGCTCTGCGCAAAGAGATAATGGAGTTTTGGTGGTGAATACGCTCAAGAAAGGAGTCATCACAAACTAGGACTGTGCGCTCTCACGTGGTTTGTTGCCAGCCGAAACGATACGATCAAAATTGTACGCATCTAGTACACCATCCCAATAATTTTCGTGGTTTGTCTTCATCTGTAAGCGATATGTGTAAATTAAAATGCATTCTTATGATCGCGTTCCACCCCCGTTCAGCTTCACCATATGTGTTTTGTATCCTACTAATGTGAATGCACGCAGTTACATTGCTCCCTCTTGTTTCCATCACGTGTCTCTACGAGCCTTTTTGGCATATCTGCAACACACTTACTGATTCTCAGATGGAGTGACCTTTATTTCTTGGAATTTCTTACTGGAATTTGTTTATGTAAGTCCGTATCATTGAGGTCATGGATATGTGAAACTGGTATTTGGGGACATTGGAGCGACAACCGAAACAGAACGCAAAATTCTAACCGTACACTGCCTTTGTGAATCCCACAGAGCAGCGCGGAGCAACAGAAATTGGGTCAAAAGGTCTTCAGATGAAGGTTTCATTGGTGTTACACATCCATGGTTTTTGGTATACAACCAAATCTCCATCCGTTCAGGTATGCATTTGGCAACAGGGTTGCCGATTAGGTTAGTGTGTTCTTTGTGAATAGAAAAACACAATACGGGCTGATGCTTACTGTGGTTGGCGAAATTGGTAGTCGACATTTTCACGTAGCGTAGCCTAAACAGATTTTCTTCCACATTGGAAACAGCTAACTTGTACTCAAACATCGACCAACAATCCCCATTTCCCCTGTAGATGACACAGCTTGAAAAACTAAGTTCGCGTTTACCAAATACGTATTCCGTGACGACGCATTGCCACGAGCATAGCTGGGAGGCGATGTGCCAGTTTACTTTGTGCGATAATTTTCAAGTAAATGAGAGCAGAAATATGCGTGTCTTCCAAACTTTTCCAACATTTTCCTGGCAACGAAGTTAGTAATCGTTGTTGTGTGGCACATATTGGCAATTCCATGATTTTGGATCGCATTTGTGAACATAATGATCCCAAACCTACAAGTTTGATTCGGCAAATAAGCAACTTTCCAATCGCTGTTCCCCATTTCATTTCAGCAGCTTCTGGGATTTCTTTTCGATAAGAGGATTCAATCAGGTCTCGCGTCACCCGATCTATCGGAAAACTTTCAAGAAGTTTATAATTGAACGTCATAGCATCAAAGTGCCCAAATCAGTGTTATAGTGCAATGTTTCGAGGACATTCAGTGAAGGTGTGCTCTCCAATCCACTATCTGGAAGCAGCCAAATTTCCTCTAGTACTCTTAAGTTTTGGAAATTTGTATAACAGCTCCAACCTACAATGTACTATGTTGAGTTCAAGAAAAGATGAATTGTCACCGAGGCCTGCAATGAACTAAAGTTTTTGTGCCATGGTAACACTCAGGCCACGCCTCACTGTAAAAGCTCGTATACGAACGTAAAACCTTATCATGTCCACATTTCGACACCAACCACATGGATCTGACGTGGAATTCGTCCCACTGGCTCGCACGCAATCGTGACGCGTTTCATTATCCGTTAAATATCTGAATCCTCGAAGCGGCACATCAACTTATCTGGGTTGATAACGGTTATGAAATCATTCAATCGTTCTGTGGTAACTGATTTTCAGGATTATTTGTGGCCGATCGGGCGACCAACCTCGGGTGCAACGTTATCCAGATTTTGCTAAACCACACGTTTTACACGTAGTTCGGGGATTAGTGAAGGCAGGACATTCTCTGTTCGAGCGAGAGTGCTGCACATCCCTACCGGCGATTTCGGGATTACCTGGTTCCGAATGAGCATCGGGACTCTGAGAAATTACGGCAACTGCAGTCGGGCATGAAGACGAACTCAGTTTTTCCCATTTTGTCTCTCAGATGGAGCCCAAAACACAGCTAATGAAGGACATTTCGCCATGCCGTGTGATAGATAAACCCCTATTGATCTATTTGTGGCCCACTGTTATCAATCTCGACATCAGGTGTGTTTCCGACACTTCAGATAGCAGATCCAAGTGAATTCTTTAATCAAACATTAAGCTGAGGAAAGAACAACCGCATCTGCATGCATCCAGCCAGATTGAAACTTTAATCGTTTTTCATCAACATAACAAATAAAGTTTGCTGCGGTGTGACGAAGAAAGTTTGCAAAAACTATACTACAGATTTGTGCAGAAATTCGGAGCCTTCGACCAAGTCAGGTGTCCCGTGCTGCACGCAACAAGGTTCCAGGCCGTCTGAAAAGTGAGTGAAAGACGAAGGAAATGGTCATTCGACTAGCAGTCAGAGTGAAACATACTTTGCTCAATTCAATTTACCAACTCAGTGACCACAGGAGTGCCCACTGCAACAAATGATTTAAAACCTGATCAGCTCCTTCGATGTTTCTATTAGACTGTTGAATTCCAGGGTAAACGAACTCCAAGCACTTGAAGTTCTGTCGCTTACTCAGTGGGTTACTACGGTAACTTGGTATAAACGCTTTGGTAGTTCTCCTGAGGTGACGGGATTGCTCTGAGCTAGAGGACACTAAATGAATTTTGTCGGTGATGTGGAATGACTTGAGACGTTTTGAACGTCGCTGTTAACCGGGTGGTACTTTACTCTTTCGGGAAATGTCATCAACTCTCCATTCTCATTGTAGATACTAACTACTCTCTGGAAACTCTAAACACAGTCACAAATAAAGAATTCACAGAGGAGGCCGCCTCGTACGATGACGGAACTTTCACAAGACAGTTGATAAGCTCGGTAAGCAGATAAATGGCCACTCCGGAAACAGACAATTAACGCACCCAAGCTAATACTATTCACACCGGGCGCTAAGATCCTATTTCGGCACGTCATGCGCTCACCGTCGTATTGTTGCAATGGTTTTGCACAACAGAGCGGAAGACGAACAACATGCAGGATTGTTACATCAGGCCAGTTGCAGCCTTCTGGCTAAACTATTAGCGTATTTTGAATCTGTGTAACTTGGGATTGTCGAAGAAGAAGTTTAGTCGGAAGCGGACAAGATGATTGAAGAATAGCGATCGCAATGCACCCAAGGAGCTTCATATGGATGATTCCCCATTGCTTCTGAACGCAACATCCTACTGGTTCAAGTGAATTCACAACCGCTCCTCCCCGGTTAGAAAAGCGGTTGTCGTTTTCAAAGATTGCTCGAAAAATTGATCATTCGGATGACATTTCCCACGCAGGAATCCACCTACGCCACACTGTTTCACCGATTAATTATCCAAGGGGTGCAGCGTTTTTGCTGCCTAGTAGGTGCTTAAAGCTAACCGAAATACCGCGTGCTAAAATGTTTGATCTTGGCATGATAACTGCTCTTTCAATAAAATGAACCTTGCTCTGCACAATGACATGTAAATGCCAGAAGAATTTTTCGTACATTAAACTGTTTTTGCAAGACGTTGTACGGTGCCAGTAGTGACATAATGATAAGCTTACATTTACTGGGTATTTTGCCCCGCCTGGCAAATAAGGACAAAGAAATTGCACTCAAAACATCGGCGTTTATTAAAGTAAAATGTCAAAAACCCGAGAGAAAATCAACTATCGCCCCGCTATTTGGGTTATTATGTTTTGTGTAATTCCCCCAGTGTGTTTCGGGATCAAATTCGTGACACTGGAGTGAGCGTTTACATCGGCCTAGAATTGAGGTGGGCGCAAATGTTGCGCGCATATTGTAATTCGCAAAACGAATTCGAATACCTAGGTCTACCGGACACGACAAATGCAACCTATTATTTTATAGTGTCCTTCATCTCTTTGGCTTACAGATGGGGGCTTGCTGATTGCCTTGGATGTACGAGAAATGGCCAATGAGTGCCGCAGTATTGGCCAGAATGGCAGTCACGGCAGGGCATTTCCTATAAAAGTGTAACAAACACTGGTGCGATAAAACAATTGAACTTTTCACAAAAAGAGACATATACAACTCATCATCATCATCACCATCATCATCATCATCATCGAAAGCATGACATCAGTGTTCAACACCGATGCTCTGTTGCCGTACAACCATGATTCATTTGAAGACCTTATGGTGAAGAAATTGTTAAAGATGGACATGGAAGGGACTTTGTGCTCTGTGAGTATTAGGACCGAATTTGTGACAGTGTTGTGATCGTTTACGTCGGATTAGAATTGAAGAAAACGCTAATGTTTGGCGCCGTCGCATATTACAGTTCACAAAGGGAATTTCAGTGGACACGACAAACGGGGCCCAACCTGTTCGGTTTACGCATGCGGGTTTACTGATTACCTTACAAATATGGGAAACTGCCACTGGGTGCCACTGGGTACCGGCCTGAAAAGAATTTAGGCCGGGTGTGGTAGAAGAATCGAACTTTCTACACAAAAAGGCACACAATAGTGCTTTTATGAAAATCGAAGCACTTACCAGCAACTCCTAAATTCGATTGAGAAAAGGTAACACAAAAATAGCATAAAAGGGCATGGTACAAACCGTCTGTCTAAGAAATGTCACGGATAGCAAAATTACGTTTTGAGACCTGAAATCACGTGAAACAAGGTTGCGCTTGTGGAAATGTGCCCGCGCGATCACAGATCTAATTGGTGGCAAAAGCACATACAATTGTGGTATGAAACATCCTCATTATGTCAACTGATCTCCAGCCTTTCTAAAAACCAAGCTGACAATCCATCTTATAAATAAGCAGGGTGAATTTCTTCCCCCGGGAGGGTGAACATATCTCCCAGGAAAGCTCGGTCCATCAATAAAACCATGGATTTTCCTTTCACCTCAAGCAACACCGTCATCAAAGTGTGTCGGATCACCTCAAGTTTCCGTGAAAAATTTCAAAGTGCCTGGGATTTTGTTACATAAGTCACTTTGTCTGATGCCTTGCTTTCTTGCAGTTGGGTTGTAGCATACTGTTCGCTAACTAGTTGTTTGCTTCTTGCCATGAGATAGTTCTGGATAGAGGTCATTCGAAACACCTGAACGGCATAGTATAAATAATAATAATTTTGATCCCGAAAAACCACTCACCGCCACCCTATGAGCTCTTCTGTCCTCTGAAACAAATTAGAATTTTATCATGATAACTGCACCGAACGCCAACTATAAATCTACGTTTTACACACTGAGTGCAAAACGTCACCAGGCGACTTTACAGGTGATGCTGATTTATACCGTCAGAGTTATTCAGTCACCCGTTTCACAAGTGTTCCTATGAAAAAATTAACCCATTAACCTATTGTGGCCCAGCGCATTGATCCCTTCAATATTCTCTTCGTGAACTTACTAAACTCGTAGATAATGCTCGTAATTCGTGGCAATTCTTTCATTCCTACTGCCAGTGTCAGAACACAATTAACACGCCATGTACTCCCGGTGTTCCAAAACTGAGGTGACGCGACGCAGACGCAGTAGTTTACAACCAACAAATTGCTGCAAAACGTTTAACGAGATTGCATCCAATTTACATGATAGAGGTGACAAACATTTGTAAAATGGTAAGCGTCTGATCAGGGTGAGGAAACTCTGAGCGCATGCGTACTACCTAATAAATAATCACTGGTCAATTTTCTAAATTTTTTGAGGAGGAAACATGCGGTAGCCAACCTAGCATAGATGGTCTTTGGCTTGCTCGCTGAGCTGGGCAATTTGATTGCAGGCGTTTCATCAACGGCCGAGTTGACATCACCAGTGCTTTGTTAGGGGGTGTAGTGGAGCATAGCCAACCACACAGCCAAAAACACATTGCCACGCACCACTACACCCCCGAACAATGCACGGATGATGTCACCTCGATTGTTGACGAAACGTTTGCAACCAAATTGTCCAGCTAAGGGAACAAGAGTTTCTAAATACACAGTCGGTAGTGTATTGAAGCTCGGCCGAATCCGGCAAAATGGTCGGTAGCCACCTGATCAATAACGAATAAGTTCACAGTTATTATCACATCAAATGCTGTCATGGAAGCCAAGCTAATCAGACTTATGTAGAGAAATGCGTGATTTTATACCAAAAACAACAATGTTACGTCATTTTTTAGATCATGAAATGTGTACATCAAAGCCGGAGGAAGGCGAACTGCCAACCCATTCAGTGACCCTCGAAAGTCTAATTTGCAACATCAGTAAGCGGGCAAAGTTCGAGAATTTTTTCAACTATGTTTGGATAGTTAAGTGTGTCCGAAACCGAGTCATCAGTTGCAATTATACATAGTACCATGGAACTGAAAGACAAAATGTTATTAAATATCATAAATGATTGTTTGCAGCTTACGCTGTATGAATTGGTTTTGAAGACCTGCAATGATCGCGTGGTAGATCAAAACCATAATTTACATTCATAGTGTCTGCGAAAAAGGAACTCACACAAGAACTGGTTGGGTTAGTGTCGACCAACTAAACAATTATTGAAGTAATTGGAAATGGATCCAGGTACCATCGTAAACCAGATGTAGACAGTGAGGATGTTGCATAGCCAATAAGTTTATGTACGTATATGACTCAAGAGCTTTCCAGTCTCCAAAGGCTCGACGAAAAACAAAATTCGTCTATTAGTCAAACAGGCTTGAGAAAAATATCACAGCGCAGTCAACCGCACAGGACTTGACGGTGTCCCCGATTCCGGGGACACGGTTCATACAAATGAAGTCAAAATTAAAAGTCGACATATACATACATATATATCCAAAGGAACAGCAAAATAACAGCTTATTTGGTTACGCAGATTATCATTCAAGAACAGGGTTTTTTTAAGGAGGTTGTTTGCTTGACAAGACGGCGATCACTTCACGGAGAGTTGTTATAACGAGGTGTTTACCTGGTGGGTGGCGAACTGTCTCGCGTGATCATGATTTTACAGTAAGAACAAAGACATGACGGACTGAATCTGTGTGTACTGGAGATTGCGCGGAAAACGATGGGCATTACCCCCATGGTCACGCCGAGACCGCCACGGACGCAAAAACAGAGTAATTGGAGTTTTTCAATCTTTTAGGAATCATATCAAGCTAGAGCAAGACCAAAAATATTACAATTTTGAGATGGTGGGCAAAAAGAAAAATGAACTGGGGCAAATATGAGACTTCCTGCCTAAAACTGGGTCATAAAATTATTAAATTGCGGAAAAAAGGGATGAGAACAACTGATCTGGAGAAGATGCAAGGTTGCTGTGATTCAACCGGTCACTTTGAATCTGAGCTGAAAACCACTACTGGAACGACTGTTGGGGTGATGAACCCAAACAACCTAAAAGGAGTCCAGCTATTTGACATTCGAGTTTCGACCTTGGAACCACTTTTCTGCGGAGCAAACGAAAACAAGACTTGTCTTTCAGGAATATTGCAAAATGCGGGTGGGGATAGTTTATCTTGCAGTTGCAATGAATTTCGCTCCAGGGGATAGTTATCTTGCAGTTGCAATGAATTTCGCTCCAGGTCAGTTAAAAGCTAGTGCTCTAAAGGAGGACGGTTTGTGTTTGGGCGCAACGTAATTTCAAGATCTCGTGGAGAAAATCGCTTGAACAGAAAGATCCTTGGGGCTTTGGTGCACTGATAATTTGATTTTACCCTGTAGAGTTATCGCCTCTCCCTGCGAATCGTTCGGACTTTCCATAGAATGCATTGCGTCTGATCGGGGAGAAGCTGTGAAGAACTTATGCATGTGGATCAACACTTCTGGTAAGTTATTCCTTGCAATTTAAAGGCCAGTATTAAGTCCCACCTGCGCAATCCATTTTACATTCGTTGAGCGAGTGATCAATAAATTATGCTGTAGTGCGCGATTTCACTTGAACTGCAACTTCAAAACAACCAGTAATGTGTAACTGATCACCTGGGTTTGTTGTGAACTTCTCACGTCTGAAGGTCGAACATTAGTGATTTTTCTGTCTAGCGGTTTGTATTCCGGCTCAACATATATTGAGCACACAAGCAGTAACTTGGTGTGGCCATTTCCGATTAAAAAGTGGAATATATAACTAATGTGAACTGGATTCAGTTGCAAGCATTTAGAGTGTTTTGCAAAATAGAGCCAAGATTTCCGTCGAAACAACCGTTTTTGCGCGGTACTTCTTGCTCTCCAGTGAGGTCACTGTTACGCTTTTTGCATGAATTTGCTGCGCTAACTCCAGACAACCATGTGCGTGTTTTATGGGGCTCCTGTATCACTGGGCA